TTAGCAATACTGGAAATTTCCACAAAAATATCACTTACGTTCAATTCTATTTCTAGACTGTTAAATTCAAAGCATTTTAGAGATCCAGAGAAATTTTTGTGTTATTGTTTTTGCTTTTTGCAGTGTTAGGGTTAGAAGCCAGGGCTTCGTGCACACTAGGCAAGTGCTCTACTATTAAGCAACATCAAACCCCAGAAAAGAATTCTAAAGGGGAATTCTAGGTTCTTTGATCAAAACAACAAAAAGTTGGGTTACAAAACTGGGTTTGTGGCTGGGTTTGTGGCTCTGTGGTAGAGTGCTTGCCTGGCATGTGTGAGGCACTGGGTTCGAGTTCAGTTCTCAGCACTACATATAAATAAATAAAGGTCCATCAACAATGAATAAAACATTAAAAACAAAACAAAACCAACTACCATGATCCTATTTCACCCAATTGGTGAAGAGCTGGTTAATTTCATTCTAAGTCAGGCTGCCTTTGGCTAAAGCTTTGGACAGAATAGATATAGAACAGTATCTCTTGAGAAAGAATCCCTAAGAAGGGTGCTTAAAAATGATCTGTTTTTAACTTTTCAAGTGTTCCCTTAAGCTCTGACCCAACATTGCCAAAGGCTGAGTGTTCTATTTCATGAGGCTGTCCATCATATATTTAAAATGATTATTAGAAAATTCTCTATGTTCAACTAAGCTTCATTTCTCTATGCATTTGCTCCTCAGGGTTTCACAGAATATATAGTCTGTAATGTTCCTTAAAGTACTTAGAATAATTAAGGCCAGTTACAAGTCAGCTTGTAAGATAGATCTTTCATATAGTCAAATTTAGTTTTGAAAACCTCTTAAATTACTAACAAATCAAAGTCCTAATAAAGCCAATTTTACTTCCAGGATTAGAATAAATAACTGTTCTTTTGGCTAAGCTGCAGATGAGGTAGTTGGCTGGCATTTAAGAGCTGTGTTGGATGAGAAATGCCTTTATTTAACATGAATACACATTGTTGATTTATCTACAATAGGCTATGACTATCAAATGTTTTCCATTTAAAGACCCACTTATGGAGTATCTTTAACCTGTCAGGTACTGTCCTAGAGGGGGACATTTGCCATACATTCCTAACCAATTGTGTGAAAAAATAGGCAATTTATTAACAAAATGGTGAAGCCAGTTAACTGAGATGAAGTTAACAGTTAAAGATCAAGAAGAAAAAGGTATGGTAATGTGAGAGTGCTGTTCTTAGGGTGGGATGGTGGATCACAGAGTGATATAAAATAACTCTTCTGCTATATCTTGAGAAACAAACACATAGAATCACCTCCCAGTCTTCTAATAATTACTTTATGAAGATATGACTCATCATCAAAGGGGCACTGGTTTGTAGTAAATTAAAAGGGCATTTACTTTTGACATTAACCATAAAAAGAACTTCAAATAAAATAAAGCTATTGATTTCTTAGAAGAGTTAACGATTTTTTGATAAAAATTTCAAAGATATCTTCAATTACTTGAATTGATCAATGACTCCTTTTAAAACAGGTACTGCTAAAAAAAAGACTTGGGTCTAGAAACACAAAAATTTTACTAATCCTATAGATATAGTAAAAAACATAATATGGATTTTCATAAAACAACAACAAAAACTACAGCAGCAATCATTGTGGGATCTCCCTAAGAGAGAACAATAGTGGACAATTACACCAAGGATTCCCACATTCCTTTTCGATGTGATACAGATGAATTTTGTAAATTAGAGATCAAAGGCAGCCTTGATGAGGAAATGAATTAACATTGGATGCTTGAAGAAAATGGATATTGAAGAAAAGGGAAAAAATCAGTTCCACATCTGCCTTAAGGCTGGATATGGGCAGGGAGAGTTTACAGCAGATAGTGTGTGTCCAATTCACAGTTCGTTTTCTTTTTAAAAGGTAGTGGCAGGGGCTGGAGTTGTAGCTCAGCGGTAGAGCACTTGCCTCAAACATGTGAGGCATTGGATTCCTCAGCACCACATAAAAATAAATAAACAAAATAAAGATATGTCCATATACAACTTTAAAAAAAGGTAATGGCAGACATCCTACCTGTCTTCATGTGGATTCCTCCATCAGTGCTGCTGAGGACATCATCAGTTTTGCTAAAAATCTGACAATTCAAAGTGCAGGATGGTTAACAATATGGAAAAGTAGACTCTGAAGATCTTACTGCCATTTACTGTGTGACCCTGAACAGCCATCAAACCTCATTTTTATCTGTGAATAAGCAACATGTGGGCGGTGACCTTAAGGGTAGGAAAAGGGAAATACAATCTTCAAAAAGCATTTTTTTGAACCATAAAACACAGTATATGCAAAATGGCTAAACAACTATTGAAATTAAGACAATTCAGAGAGAAATTTTAGTGTGAACCTTTTATTTTGACAAAAACAAACTTTACAGAGTTTACATTCTCAAACTCCCAAACTTTCACTTACTCAAAAAATGAGAGACAAGGCATCCTAGACTCCAACATTTTAGGTATGAATAAACTAGTACCAGATTTTTAAGTTATATAAGCTAGTTGCATTTTACATACCACAAAAATAAATTGAGACAAACATTCACTAGTTTCAAGTGTACCCATAAGAAACACATGAACATACCTGTGTTTTTTTTTACCACTCTCATGTCAATAAACATCTAAGTGTTTGACATATCTAAGTGTTTAACGGTAGGCACAATTCTATGAATATTAAATTCTCAAATTATTTGTTTTTTATAATCGTGATTAGGAAACTGAAAAACAGGAATGTAGAGTTCAGTAGCTGAAAATGCTACACTTACTGCACACAATCACATGTGAAAAAGAATGTTACCATAGTTCCCCCTTTTGGGAATGACTTTTTGAAAATTTAAAATATTATTTTACCAGAAAATTTATCTTTGGTGTGAAGAGCAAGTTAAATGATGTACTGATAATCTCTGAAGACCTAGCAAATTATAGATTTTGTGAATAGTTACTAATATATCTTTAAGAGATTAATGCTGACTGTTCAACAGTATCTTCAGAAGGTTCTGAAGTGTCTACTCCTATAGTTGCCATAGCTATACATGTCTATGAAATTTAAGATTCCTCAATGGGAAGTTGTAGCTTATTCTTATATAAGACACAGGTAATATGTAGAATCAGACTGTTTTGCACTCTCAAGGAACCTATTTTCAATTACAGAAAATTACATTGTTTTTTTTCACCCATAAATGTGAATGAAAGCACTTCTCAAATGTACATGGTCCATTTCCCAATCCTAAAACAAAAGTGAGGGCACACAAATGGATAATCATTTATGTTTTATGTGAATATTTTTTATTCATCTTTAAACAAATCCAACTGCCATCTACAGACAGATGTGACAAATTTGTTACCAATTTCTATGTCTTGGGAAATTAAAGATCTAAGAACTTTAAATGTTGAGGCTATGTGCAATGCATTCCTGGATTCACTCTGCAAGCTATTTTCTCACTCCTCTGTCCTGTAGGGTGTATCAACTTAAGTTTCAATATCAGGAGAATAAAAAGACTAAGGGAAAAGGCCTTGATCAAATTTATCCCCTATGAAAATTTCTACACTTATTAATGAAAAGACTTAATATGCTTGTGAGATAAATCTTGAAGTAATAATTATAAAGCCATTTACTCTCACACAAATGAGTGAAATGTAATTAATAATCATACTTAAACAAGTCTTTAATTTTAATGAATGGTATTTTTCACTTATATACAAAGGAATTCAATAGCTAGCAGCATTTAAATATGGAAATAGTTCCATCTCTACTCTTTTCCTTATATAAAGTGCCATTTTTAACTGGGCAGATTTAACACCCAGCTTTTCAGTAACTACAGTATAGCTCTTTGAATATATTCAAAGAAAGGTAAGAAAATTGACTTACTATTTTAAACAATTGCAAAATGTTGCACAAAGCATAGAAACTGTGAGTGTATTAGTAAAATAAAAGTCTCTTACCCAAGAATCATTAAGCAGTAAGTTGATTAAATAATTACTTCATAGAAGCATTGGTTCGCTAATATTTATGCCTTTTTTTTCTTCTTATTCCAATTGTCTAAACCAGAAATGGTTTCTGCTTAAGCACCATTAGGGTTATGTCAAACAAAAGAGAACCAATGGTTGTTATGATTCCTCAGAACACAAATCCTAACAAACAGACTTTCAAAATAGGAAAACAAATTAAGTGTCAATCAGAATGAGAGGCAATATTTTATTCAAACACACATAGGCTGCTGAGTGTTCTCTTTAAACAAGAAGGTGTAGTTATAAATAATGTACCGTAATACTTGAGTGCAGTGGAGTTAAGATAGGTGAAATCCAGAGTACAGATTAACTTAAAAGTGACTGTTGCTTAATTCTTTGTTCAGTGATTAAAACTGAAATTGCTTTAAAAAATAATAACTAACCTGCTACTTGCAATACGAATAGATTGTCAACAGGATTCCCATTTTACTTACATTATTCTCTACTCAGTACTTTTGCATCTCAACTCTGATCTTGCCTTCAGTAGTACCTTAAAAAGCAATTACTAAAAGTACAGGGCAGCACGTAGTTTTGTTCACATTTAAAAATACTACCAGTTTCATTACAATTTGCATTTTTGTTGTTCTTGAGAGAGTAACCACTTAGAAAAACAGATACATAAAAAGTGCAACATTGTATCCGTTAAAACAAAGGAATTCAGTTATCAATTCAGTCCCCCTAGATATATTTCTAATCCTCAGAAAAAGGGACCACAGGTCAGAGGGGTGGAATGGGAAGAGGCAGAGGTCAATGTATGATCAATCAATTAATAAAGAAATCTACTTCACCCAGAAAGCTAGCTGGAGGGGAATTCCTCTCTGCCCATCACAATCCCTCACAAAAGAATGCATCAATTTTTTTTTTTTCTGCTCTCCTTTCCTTACTCCAGTATTCTAATATTCTATCCTGAAGACAAACAAACCTTAGCATTTCTAAAAGAAATTATTTTTACCCAAACACATTGGACTTCGGTCTTAATTTGAATGAGGATGAGTGGCCTTTAAGAGATCGTTCCTCCTCCTCTTCCCCTTCCTCCAGCGGCTGCTCTGGGTCCCTGAAAGTGGGTGTGGTGTGGATGATCTGGGTTCTGAAGCGGATTTTGTTGAGTCTGGGTTTTATCCGCCCACTAGAGCTGCCAGAGGCTTTGCGACCGGGATCCTTTGCTTTGCCTCCAGCCCATCCCTCAGCCAAGTGGAGATGGTGATGATGGTGGTGATGATCCCCCGCATCCTCCAAGACATGAGAGAGTTTATAGGTGATAAGGTGCGACGGGAGCACCTTTGAAAGTCTCCAACGTCCACCCCCGCTACCAGCAGCGCTCTCCCCATCATCGTCATCCAGGGCTCCCACCAGGTTCTTAATCTCCTCCGCGATACTCTGACTCAGGTACTGAGAGGCCTTTTTCCCGCTGTAGTCCCTGATGTCCACGTCTGCGTCGTAGGCCCCCACAAGTAACTTGACTACCTCCACGTGTCCGTGCATAGCTGCCAAGTGCAGGGCGGTGTAGCCGGCGCTCGTCCGGGCGTTGATGTTCACCGGCAGCTGGTGTTTGTTAGCGAAGTTGACCAGCAGGGCCAGGAGCTCTTGCCGGCCGTGCTTGGCGGCCCAGTGCAGACAGGTGAAGCCGGTGATGAAGTCTCGCTTGGTCAGGAGGCCGGGCTCGCAGGTAAGCAGACCTTCTAGGCTGTCCCACTTGCCGTCCGAGGCCGAGAGCATCCAGGCGTGCTCCAGGGGGTCCAGGGTCACTGAGCCGCCGCCACTGCTCTCCTCCTCGGCGGACGACGAAGCCACCGACGCGCTATCCGAGTCGCCCCCGCCTCGGCCGCGACCTCCCCCGGAGGAGCTTCCAGGGCTGCTGCCCCCAGGACACCCGCTCCTCTTCAGTTGCGGGGAGCTGCCCATCACCAGGTCCCGGAAGTTCTGGCGGGCAGATCTCGGGGTGGTGGGCCCTCCAAGGGAGCTGCTGGGGTCCCCCTCCTCGCAGCCGTGCGGGGGGGGATCCAGGTCCTCGCGGGGGCCCGGGACAGGCATCTGGGGTAGGGCCTGGACGCCGCGCCTGGAGTTCTTCCTCCGGGCCCCGCTGTTCGGAGGCTGCCCTGGAGCGGCGCTCGGGCGCTCGGGATCGCTCGGCTCCCGGCCCTGCTCGGGGGGCGCCTCGGGGTCCACCGCCTCGGAGCCCGCTGCCTCTGGGCGCGGGCCGCTTTCCCCGGACCCAGTCGGGGGGTCTGGGGCTTCAGTCTCCGCGGTCACCTCGATGTGAGGCGGGTCTCCGGGAGGCGCGGCCTCTGGTGGCGTGGACCCGGAGCAGAACCTCTTCTTGAGGTAAACATACTTGGCGCCATCGGCGGGATCTGTGCGGACTGTGGCCACGGCGTTGACCAGCTCCTTAAAACGGGCGCGGGCACGGGCGCGCTGCTCTGGCTCACCGCCCAGGACGCCCCTAAAGTGGTCCACCAGTTCGGCCTGCCGGGCTCGTCCCCCATGTTCCGAGAGGAAGGCTAACACGGCCTCGGGGCCCAGCTCTGCTGGCCCCTCCATCCGCCGCTGCTCTGGTTCTCCGTCGGCGGGCGGCTCAGCCCGGCCCCATCACAGCGCGGTCGGAGGTCCGGGAACCCGGTGAGCTCCCGCGGCTCCCGGCTGAGGCGGTTGCAGTCAGGACTCAAGACACCGCCTGGCCCCAGCCGCGCCCGGGCAGACACGCCCCCGACAGCCCCGCCCACCATGTTGGCCCCTCCCTCAAGCCCGCCCATTTCCTGTCTCCGCGGAGGGCTGCAATCTCGGCTCCCGCCGGTCGCTGGCGGCCCCGCCCACTTCCGGTCTCTGTGTGCGGGTCCACAAACGCCGTTCCCGCCAGCTGCCTGAATCGTTGGGACGTTTCTCCTCACGTCTACTTCTTCCTGTCTCAACTTTCCTTCATTCACCCTCGCCCCCGCACCTACTTTTAAGTCCTCGAAAACGTTGAGAGGCACTCCTTTGAGGGGCTTGCAGGGCGCGCGGGAAACGTTTGGCGTGGTCCATGGCGGGTCCCCGCGGCCCCAGGGGCTTGGCCACGCCCCACCCTGAGCCCAGCAGCCGAGGCCACCCCCGCCCGTGGGGCGGCCCCGGCCGCGCGCCGGCCCTGCCCATCCCGAGCCCCGCGGGTGGTTCCTCTCGGGTCACGCCCAACCCGGCCTGCCTGGCCGACGTCTTCCCGGGCCAGGTCTGAAACCGCCGCTTGGCTGCCTCCAACCTGGATCGATGGAAGAGGCGCAGCGCCCGGTGAGTTCGCCACCCTCCACCCTCTGCCGAGGGCTCCGGGGACGCGCGCCCCTAGGGCACTTGCTCAGCCTCCGCCCTCCTGGCCGCCTGTGGTCGCGCTGGGATTGTGATCCGCGCTCCTCCCTGGGCGCGGCCGGTCCCCGGCGGAGATTCGGGTCTGCCCGCTGCCGACCCCTACCCGCTGAGGCGCCGGGCCAAGCTCCGGGGAGATGGGGAAAGATCTTTTTGCTTGACTTTTCAGTCTGTGTCCAAATGGGAAAATTAGATGTGGAACTGTTGGCTGGTCCATCACTTTCCTAACGGTTTCTGAGCGCGCAGTGTAGATTGACACAACCGGAGTGATCTGGTGGAGTGGTGCACACGTCCTGATGACTGGCTGGGTCGACTCCGGCTTGCGCGGCTTTCCCCAAGCCGTCTGTGGTTTTCAGGTGGTGTCCATTAGGATTTGAACCTTTTCGTTTCCCGCCTTGGCACCCGTGCTTATTAAAAGAACACGGTCCAGCGTTTTAGATGACTTTGTACATTACGTTTCAGGTTGCTTTGGCACATGTATCTTGTTTGCCAGTTAAGACACTGGTTCTCAAAGTGGTCACAGGTATTTTCATAGTAACACCGTGTGTGGTTTGCCTTTTGTAATTCTCATTCTCTTAGAAGCGTACTGAGAGTTTTCCAGAAGCCAATGGGATATGTCTTTGCATATGTGTGGGTTTGTTTTATGGAGCTTGGACAAGAGTTCTGCTCTGATTCAACCCAGGTCTCTTTCTACTCTATCACGTATTTAGAAAAGTCTCAGATTTTCTCTTTGTTACCATTGCCCCATGCTCACGTTGTTGAAGAAAATATCAAAGGATTGTGGTGAGTAAGGTGTGTTATAAACTGATTCGTTGAGTGATCTTCAGTATCAAATCATACTTGAACAGAAGAGAGCACCTCAGTTGATATTGGATTTCTTGTCGATTTCCAGCACTTAAGCTTGCTCTGAAGCTGTTTTCTAATTAAACTTTTTATTTTGAGATCATTGTAGATTCTCATCCAGTTGTAAGAAAGAATATAGTAATATCCCTCTACCCTTTATGCAGTTTTCTCGATATTTGGCAAAATGTAGTAGAACATGAATATTGACTGATACAGTGAAGATAGAGGCCCTTTCCCTCACCAAAAGGTCTCTCAGATTGCTCTTTTATAATCACACCCACTTAGTTCCCTGTCCCATCTCCTCTTTAATCCCTCTTAATCAGTAATTTGTTATTCATTTCCATAAATTTTCATCTCAAAATTTATGTGATTACTGAGTCAGTAATCTTTTGGGATTGGATTTTTTTTCACTCAGCAAAGTTCTCTGGAGATTCATCCAAGTTGTTGCAAGCATTAGAAGTTATGAATGTACCACACTTTGTTTGAAGGCCATCTAGCTTGTTTTCAGTTTGGGGCTATTATGTATAAAGCCGCTGTAAACATCTCTGTAATTTATAATGTAATGTCATGTAAACATTAGGTTTTTTTTAAAATTTGTTCTTTTTCAATTTACATAACAGTAGAGTGTATTTTGACATACATACACAGAGTGTAATTTATTCTAATTAGGACCCCATTCTTGTGGTTGTATTTGATGTGGAGTTTCACTGGTGTATTCATATGTGAACATCAGGAGACTTATGTCCAATTCATTCTACCATCTTTCCTATTCCTACCCTCCTTCCTTCCCTTTATTTTCCTTTGTCTAATCCACTGAATTTCTACCCTCCCCCTTGGTTGTATGTTAGCATCTGCATATCAGATATTAGAGAGAACAGTCTACCTTTATTTTTGGGGGATTGGCTTCAGTTCTCCCAGGCTCATTTATGCAGTTGCTGGGTTGTGTGGTAATTGCGTCTTTAGTTTAATAAGAAACTACCAAACTGTTTCCTAATATGTTTGAACCATTCTTACCAGCAGTGTATGAGAGATCTACTCTATTCACATCCTTGTCAACATTTAGCGTTGTCCTCATTTTTAGCCATTCCAATAGGTATGTATGATGTTGTGGTTTTCAGGTGCATTTCTCTAATGTCTAATGATGTTGGACATAGATGGTATTTCCTTTTTTGTGTAATGTCTCTTCATCTCTTTTTTTGAATTTTCTAATTGAATCTTTTTTTTGGCTGTTGAAGGATTTTTTAAAAAAAATGTATCTTAGATACCAGTCCTTTTTCAGATATGTAGTTTGCAAATGCTTTCTCATTCTGTACTTTTGTGTCTTCATCCTCTTAATAGGATCTTTTGCAAAACAAGAATTTTAAAAATTTTATGAGGTTCATTTTATTAAGTTTTCCTTTTATGGATTTGTGCTTTTTTGGTGTCAGTTTAAGAACTTTTTGCCTAATCCTAGATCCTGAAGATTTTCTCTCTTTTTTTTTTCCTTAAAAGTTTCATAGTTTACAATTTACATTTAATCCCATGACCCATTTTGAGTTAATTTTTCTATAAGATGTCAGACCTTAGTCAAGAGCTCATTTTTGGTTTAGGGGGATGCCTAATTGCTTTGGTTGAAAAAGTTCTTATTCCTCTATTGAATGGCTATACTTTTGTCAAAAGCCAGTTGAACATATTTATGCTAGCCTATTTCTGGGTTCTGTCAACACATATACCACTGATTCTCGTAACATTGTAAGTCTTGTAATTTACTTGTAAAGTTGTAAGTCTTGTAACCTTGTAAGTAAGGGTAGACCCATTCCTCCTACTTTTTTAGGAGGAATGTTTCCCTTTTTTTCAAAACTTTTTTAGCTAATTCTTTGCCTTTCTTTAATTTTTAGCTAATTTTTTTGCCTTTCTTTAATTCTTGCCTTTCTTTGTAAGTTTTAGAATCATTTTGTGTATATCTAAAAAAAAAAAAAAGATCTTTTTGGGATTTTGTTAAGAATTACATTATTTATTTTTAATAATTTTTTGAGAGAGAGTTTTTTTTTAATATTTATTCTTTAGTGTTCGGTGGACACAACATCTTTTTGTATGTGGTGCTGAGAATCGAACCCGGGCCACACGCATGCCAGGCAGTTGCCCTACCGCTTGAGCCACATCCCCAGCCCCAAGAATTACATTATTATATCTGTATATCAGTTTACTGAGGATTGATATCTTTACTATGTTGTCTTCTACCTTATAAACACAGTTTTTCTTGTCATTTCTTAATATTACTTTGATTTCTTTCATTATGCAGTTAGCATACAATCCTGCATGTTTTGTTGGAGTTATACCTTCATGCTTACGTATTTAATTTTTTAAGGAAATGTAGATGATAATTGCTTTTAAATTTCATCTTCATTGGTAACAGGAAATATAATTGTTTTTTGTATGTTTATCTTGTATCCTGTGACCTTGCTAAATTCATTTGCTCTAGGAGTTTGGATTCCTTGAGGTTTTCTATGTGGATAATCATGCCATTTGCAAATAGAGACAGTTTTATTTCTTCCTTTTTACCATTTCCTTCCAGCCTTATTGTGTTGGCTGGATTCTAGCCCTTTGTTACTACTTTTTTTTTTTTTTTTAGCATTCAAATCAGTAACAGTGGTGAAAGCAGAACAGTCTCCTTGTTGTTTTTCCTTCTTTTTGGGGAGAAAGCATTCAGTCTTTTCATGATAGCTATGAAGTTTTTTGTAGATGCCCTTTACTGACTTCATGAGGGATAATGGTCTATAGGTGTATGTATTGTCAGTCAAGGTAATAGTAGCTTCATAAAATGGGTTGAAAAGTATTCTCTCCCTTGAAAGAGATTGTGTAGAATGGGTGTTAATTCTTTAAATGTTGGTTGTTAATTCTTTAAATGTTTGGTAGGATTCTTCAGTGAAACTGTCTGGGCCTGGAGATTTCTTTTTGGAGTGTTTTAATATTAGAAATTCAAGTTTCTTTAATAGTTATAAGGCTATTCACTATTGTTGGGAAAGTTGTGGTAGTCTGTGGTTTTTAAAGAACAGAATCATTCCTTCCAGTTTTCAAATTTACATAAGTAGAGTTGAACATAGTATTGCCTTAGTATCCTTTGTTGGCATCAGGGTCTGTAGTGCTATTCCCTGTTTGAGTCCAAATGTTGGTAATTTATGTCTTTTGTCTTTATCAGTTCTGATACCAGTTTGTCAATTTTATTGATCTTTTCAAAGAACTGGCTCCTTGTTTTATTTATTTATTTTAATTTTTCTATCTTTAGTATAAGTAGTGATTTCTGACCTTTTCTTGTTTTCGAAGTATTTTTCTTTTCTTTCCTTGCTTGGGGTTTATTTTGCTTCTTTTCTAGGTTTTTGAGGTTC